TGTTGGAATCTTCTTTCCTGAATCAAACGGAGCTGAATTCACAAAAGCGAAAAATTAGCAATCAAGAGTAAAAAAAGCTGAACAAAAGTACTTTCTGAGAAATAAAAAGGGGAGGGAGGGAGTGTTCACTATTGCTAAACTATATTCATTAAGGGTGGCAGTTCACAAGTACTATATTATTAAAAAGTGAGCTTATGAGACATATTGAGCTATTCTGCTCAATCATTTTGGAAAATGCTACGTTTGCATAGTGTTCCTCACACAATGATCTGTCAAAGTCTGGAGAGAACCCTTCTGATAAAGTCAATCAGCACAAGTAGGGGAGAAAAAGATGTCCTGGAAAACATCTAGACCACAGGTGATTACTACTTGCTGAATGCAAAGATATTTCAGTATTTCAAACATGCTGTTCAATTAAACTCACAAGATATGTTACAGTGTGTTAAATTAAAGTTCCGCCACCTACCTTTCTGTAACAGATGTTACCATGTATTCAGTCACAGGAAATACTTCAGAGTAACAACAGCTAAGAGCAGATGTGTATCCAATTACTGTTTTAGTCAGCTACAACAGAGAAACGGCACTAACGAAAAGTGGCCTTACCAGACTTAAAAATTTACTGCAGGAATCAACTAATTCTACTTGCTTACTTCTGCTCTTGAACACAGAACAGGCAAACTGCTGAAAGGAAAGAATTCCTGGGGTATGCATGTTGCTGAAGCCAGGGAGAAAATATGTTTTAAGATGTGTCAGAGCACAGACATAACAGCCACAGCATTGCATTTCCTTTTTTGTTCATTCAAGACAACACACAAGTCTGTAAAGGGAAAGCATCAGGAAGTTTCAGCAACATCTTACCCTAGATCTCCCAACTCCATTTTGTTTAGAGTTTAGAAATATTAATACTTACTATTTAAACGATTGTGTCAAAATTAAAAAAAAAAAAAAAAACACATACAATTTTATTGTTATCTTTGTGCTTTTAAATCTCTTAGTCTCATGTCTCTCATTTTCAAACATGGCATAGAAGAAAATTTCACTGTTTACTACATAAAACACAAAGGCATTTTTGCAATAGTAATTATTGTCTAGTGCAGCATTAAAACCTTATGATACAAAGATGCCCATTAACATCGGGCATGGTGGTTGGTTTGGGGTTTTTTCCAGAAAGTGGGGAGGGAAAGGAGAAAGAGGAGAATGATTACAGTTATTAAGTTCCTAATTACACGTAACTCAGTTTGACAGCATTATTCATGAGTTAAGGGAATTTAAGTAACAACATACGCCACTACAATCTTTATTAATATGCAAAGAAATCAAATTTAAAGGAGTAAAACTTCCATTTTGTGGTCTTCAGTGAACAATTTCCTTCAGTGATGCTGCACATTCAAGTGCCATTAATTCAATGCAATCCCCAAGAATACAGCACACCTGAGAAAAATCAAGCTAAACAGACTGCTTTGTAAAACTAGTTGTTTGGCTAAAGGTAAATATTTAGGAAACAAAACCATTCCAGATCATCACAGATGATGCTGGAACCACTAATGAGTGTACTCAAACCTTGTGGAATCCACTCAAGCATTACATTATTGATTTTTTTTCTAAATTTAGTGCAGTATTCTTTCAAATGAAACTGGAGGTTCCTCAAAATGTAAAAGGGGAAAGCAAACATCCACCACTGAAGATGACAACCTCCTTTCAACAGAAAACAGAGTAAAGAAGCTGAACGAATGAATTGTAAATACTTTATACAGCTGAAATCAACAATAAAAGCTTTAACACATTAGTAACTACCCTAAGCAAGCGTCTAACACCAACATCAACATGTAAGCCAGCCCAGTTTTGCTGCTAGCAAGCTTTGATCTTGCTAATTCAACTATGTCAGCAAATGCTGCAATCACACCAAAATGCAGACCTAGCCTGCCATACAGTCAACTAAAGCAAGAAATGGTACTCTCACCATACAAGCTTATATTAACTAGTATTAGACAACTATAACTATCAAACTTGCATTTTTTATTTCTTTTTTTTAGAATACAGAAGAAATTTTCCTGAGTCCACTAATCATCATCAGACTAAGACCTATTCAGTGAAATTGCTGATGTCCTGAAAGCTTCCCTTTGAGACCTGTGCCATGATGCTCACTGAGGATGCTCACTGTTTCAAATACTTTAAATGGTACAGGGTATGATATAATCTTATTCAACGCTAATTAGTTACCTATGAGTATATATCCTGCCTTTTTTATTTATAGGTATTGACTCACTGACTTTATTGGAGAGTTCAACAGACAACATCACATCCTGCTAAATTACTGGTTAAATCCTAAAATATGTTTGAAGGCTACTCTATTTTCTTACCTGTTTCACAGCCATTTCAACTCCCATTTATGTATTACCAAATCCCCAACAGCCTAGAAGTAGCCTACATGCATACACAGGTATGCAAATACAAGACCTGAGGGTGAGGAATCTTAAGTTCAAGAGGAAAGGTGGTTTAACCAGGTATTTATTTAAGGAACCACAGCACTACACTCAGAGGCCAGAATCTTATTGTGCTAGTCTCTAAACACTCAATATTTATGTACTTATTAGAGATGTACCAGATAAATTGCTATTATAGTTTTATTGAGGGAGAGTGACCTCTAATATCTTTGCTCTTCATTTGGGAATATATTACTTGCCAGTAAATTAGAATCTTATAGTGCTTGAGACTTCAACAAAAGCCAAGTAACTTTAACTATAACACATTTAGCTGTTCTGAAGCACTAATAAATAATCTCTGTACAGCACATTCTTGAAGCATTACCTCATATGGCCTAGCACAGAGAACTACAGAACCTTCCAACAGTCTGTGTGACAGCATTGTGAGTACCCAGTCCTACCCTCTTGAAACACTAAGACAGCCTAAAAATAGCCTGTGTGTATTACTTGAGGATGAGAAAACACAAATCACTCTGGCTTGCAAGGAGACCATCCTTATTCTTATCCATTCCTCAGTGGTCAGGCAGAGAGTAATAAACTCTCCCCAGAGAGGTGTGAAAAGGTAGTCTCCAGAAGAAGCCCCTCACCCTGGCCTTCACCTCACAAGACAAGCTACTAGTCTTAGCTCCAAGACTTAAAATTCCATGACATAAAATGATTCCAATCTCACCTCGAACTTATAAAATGCAATATCACTTAATTACTCCTTACCTGGCATGCACTAGTTCTGGCTTGCAATTTCAGGATTTCATAAAAATAAGCTCTTCTTGTAAGACATTATCACCACACTCAGAGTATTTATCTCATGACTGTACCAATAAACTTAAGTGTCTCAGTCCATACTAAAGACTGCATCCTTTAAACAAATCCTAAATTTAAGAAATAGATGGTGGAAGGGCCTGTCTACATTGAAGAGACAGTCTCATCTTAGAATCTTTAGATTTAACATGATAAACCTAATTTAGGGACAAACGTACACATAAACAACTGGCATTAAAAAACAAACATTACAGTGGCCTCTGCCTTAAATTATAATGTTTGGTGCAGGCACCTTTTCATAAAATAATTGCCCAAGTCCACAATACATAAAGCTACATTTAAAGTTATTACCAGACAGGTTAGAGTTGACACCACGCACAAAGATCTTATCTAAGCCAAACTACTCATTAGAAAACATACTTGTGGGTTCTAGGGGTTACCAACTCGTTTTCAAAACCATCAAGAAACCCCAACAGCAAGCTTGCTTGGAAAACAGTTTCAGAAATTTGCTTAAGGAGAAAATATTGCTGTGATGTTGTAAAATGCCTGAACAATTGACATTTGTATAATTTCAAGGTGTACTCAATGACACTGAATCACTTCAAAGAAGCTGTTCCACCAGTTCTTTAAGTAAACCTTCCATGAAATTACTATTACAGAAAGCCCACTGTAAGCCACAAAAACAAAACAAATTTGACAAGCTGGAAGATGTACCAAGAGGGATAAAAACACATGTAGAAGTTTCTCTTTTCTTAAAAACACCAAGATGTCCTTGAATCACAGATCAACACTTAACTTGAAAAAGTTTCCTCATCTTTGCATAAGGAACTGGAACCTAACGTCTACTCAAGCTTTAAATACATTAAGCATATCAATTCTTCCCTCAATCTTGTTTTCATAGGTCTTAGCTGAGAAAAAGAGAGAAATACTGAAAATGGCTCTTTACAGACAACTTTTACCCATCTTGGACAGTGCTAGGTCATTCTCCCACTGCTGGAGGCCAGATCCACCCCATCCCACCACAAACGGTGCTTCCCTTCCTCATTCAGCTGTGCCCCACTTCAGGGAATTTGGGCGTTTCATCTTTACTCCATCTGTACATGTGTCAGATGCTCTGAACTCAATCTGTAAGATAACGAGGCACTACGCTGGGCTTGTCCTTAGGATACGCAGCAGCACACGAACAAAGTTAGCGAGCCGAGTCTCCTCAGCACCACCCTCGGCTCCGCCGTCCGCAGACCTGGAACCATCCCTACAGCCTTGGGCTGGGAGCGCTAAAACACCCCGACACCCGGGAGCAGAAGAGGAAGGGTTCGTTTTCGGTTATTTCGGTGTTCAAGGAATACAGTGCGAGCCATTTCACGTGGAACCGAAGCGGAGCGGGGCGGGCTGGCAGGGGGTGCTCGGCGGGGGGAGCCCCGCGGGCCCGGGCGGCGGCAGCGGCACCGCGCAGGTACCGCCGGGGAGGTACCGCCGGGGAGGCACCGCCGCTGCCCCCGCACCGCGCCCGGACCCCCGGGCCCCCTCGGCGCCTCGGGCGGCCGCGAAGATGGCGGAGGGTCCGCGCCCCGCTGCCCCCGCACTCACCTGTCAGACACGGCCGGGTCAGACACGGCGGGCGCGGAGGGGCAGGGCCGCGGGTGGCGCGGAGCAGGAGGAGGGGGAGGATGAGGACGGCGAGGAGGAGGAGAAGGGCGGGAGCGGCAGCAGCGGCAGCAGCAGCAGCAACAGCAACGATCCCGACGCCGCTCGGGCAGGACGCGCCTCCCCGGTGCGGAGCCCTCAAGGCGACATCCGGCGGAAGCGGCGCGGCCCCCGCTCCGGGCCGCGATGGCGACGGGCAGGGGCTGGGGGAGCCTCCCGGGATAGGGAATGGCACTGGGCCCGGGAGAGCCACCCGCTGGGGGAGCAGCCCGCGGGATCGGGAATGGCAGCGGGCAGGAGCTGCCCCGCCGCCGCCCCGCGGCTCATCCCCGCTGACCCAGGTCAGCCCGGGGTCAGCTCAGTGCTGGTGTTTAAGCAGCTCAGTTGTGTTTCATCCCGACTGTCGCCTCTCGGGGGTAACGCTGTGTTACGCTCTACAACTCCCTGAAAGGAGGGTGTAGCCGGGTGGGGGTCGGTCTCTTCTCCCAGGCAACCAGCGACAGGGTAAGAGAGCACGGTATTAAGCTGCGCCAGGGGAGGTTCAGGTTGGCTATTCGGAAGAATTTCTCTACCGAAGGGGTGCTCAGACATTGGAATGGGCTGCCCAGGGAGGTATTGGAGTCACCTGGAGTCTCTGGAGGTTTTTAAGAAGAGGCTGGATGTGGCACTCAGTGTCATGGCCTAGTTGACAAGGTGGTGTTGGTTCATAGGTTGGACTTGATGATCTCAGCGGTCTTTTCCAACCTAGTTGATTCTGTGATTTACTGTTTACTGTTAACACTGTTTTAGTATATCCAGTAACACTGGGGGGTAAAACTTCCGTGAAACACCACTGGAATTCCATATTTTTTAATAGAGAATGGCTGGGAAATACTGCTTTTGGTCTTTACTGTGTCTGCAGACGGTACGACAGAAGCAGTGTATCAAAGCTAGCCATGATTTGCAAGTAGGCTGTTCGCTCTGAAGCCTACAACGCATAATTGAAATGTGATTAATTCCTCTGCTGATTAACACTTAGAAAAAACCTTCACCTAAAATTCTTATTCAACGTAGCAGATAGTGAAAGTCAAAAGAGGCCTTTGCCTAATTATTTTTCCACTTCCTGCAGATTATCTAGCTGCCTCAGAAGAGGTCTGTGAAAAGGCCAGAAGAACATGTGCCTCAGTGAGGGCTGGAAATATTAAATTTTCTTTTCATGTGCTTCCCAGCTACAAGTCTGCCAGCAGTTCTTTTTTGTCTTCTTTTTCCTTTCTGTCCACTTCTGTGCAGTCATGTCTTAATTAAAGCTGTATTAAACACCGACAAAAATAGTGATTTACCTATTTACTAGCTTATTTTTCATTACTGGAGGTCATTCTCCAAGATAACCAGCCTAACTGGTTGAGCACTTCCCATAATTGTATCCTATTTGGTTCTTCAAAGCCACCAAAAGGGAGTAAAATGAATAGCTAAATGACTTTAAGGAGTGGAAAAGAAGGGAGACTGAACAGGCAAAAGAAAAGGGACAAGAGGTAGAACAGAGATGCCTGGAGGAAGCCTGAACACAGCCTGACCAAATGCCACTGTTTGATGCTTTGAATTCTTTCTCCAGATGGTGCAGTTGCAGTGGCTCAGCCATCTCAGCCAAGGCACAACTCAAGTCCTCAGCTGTTCAGTTCCTAACTAAATATTTTTCAAGCCTTATTATCCCTACTAAAATTCTTTGGCCTAATATAACACTACTGTACCATAACAGCTTTAGTTGTAACTGTGAAGGAAAAAACTGTCCAGTGAGAGCACAAGGACCCATGTTTGAGATTTCCCTGGGAAAACATTTGGCAAATTTGTTGTCCTCTGGAGCAGCTCTCTCTCTAGCAGCTGGGCATAATACAGAGATGACCATTTTTTTCCTGAAGAAATGTAAAATACTAAAATAAACAAAGACAGGGGTTTAAATAACTTTATCCTTGGCAGAGGGTGCTTCACCTGAAAATTAACAGGGAATCCCAAATAGCCTGGAAGTATCCTACATCTGTACAGATGCCTTTGCTTTTTCCATGAGAAAAGAACAAGGAGTGGCCTGTTGTCACTCCAGCTCTGCTGCTGGTTTGGTTTTGTTGTGGCAGTGCAAGAGTAGCAGGCACTGTGTAATGTACAGGAGAAAGAGTAGAACAGAAGACTGCTTTTCACAAATTACCTGTTTTAAAAAAAGAGACAAAGATAGGAATACAGGAGCCTGGGGAAACGGGAGGGGCAGTACCAGTCAGCATCTCTTCAACAGCTAAGAAGCCTTCGTAATAAGTATTGTAATAAGTTGAGCGAGAAAAGTTAGGTTGTCCTGGACATCACCTTCCAGACCTACTTCTGAATAACAGCTGAATCTCCCAAATTAACATTTTCCAAAGCTGTAAAAGTAGCAGGAAAAAACAAAACCTCCTATCCAGAGTTCAAACTAAAAGTAAGAAAAACAAACAAACAAAAAGATTTAAGAGGTCAAGCATTACTTCTTCCTATAGGAATGCTTCTAATAACTCCTTCCTAAAAGAGCCATTTCCTATATCGTTATTCATTCACCTTATGCTGTACAAAAACATTTTGAAACTGTCCATCATAGCACTCTTTCCATCACACTTGAGATAGCAAACCTAAATGCAAATACAACATCCTACTTATATATTTAGCATACATGTATTACATTTTTACTACAAAGCCATCTGTCTTCTCTGGAGCAAGCTGAAGCCAATCCTCTTCCCTGAACCAGGTCATTTAAGAGAGCAGATTCAAGTGAACAACAGCAGATTAGTTAAGAACGGGAGGTATTTACCTCCCCTTTTAGATAACATTCAGGTTGTTGTTTGCTCTCCACCTAAGTGGATCACTTAGACAAATATTTTCTGGAGAGCTATGGCTCCGAGGCAGGAGCAGACTTCCGAGAGGAATTCTCCAGGGAGACGAGGAAAAAGGATAGCTCTATAGCTGAGATGGGTGAACTGGAAGTCTTAAATATCAGGGCAAGTGAACAGGAAGATGAAAAAGAAGAAGGTTGGACATGAAGTATGGGAAAAAGCCCTTAATATTCCTAGGCAAATCTGAAAACCGAGGACAAGCATGCTTCAGGAGTCTGTGCATTCTAGGCAGGGGTCAAATACCAGGTTTGTTCAGAATTTACTTCATCCTGTGGTTCACCATCTTCTTGTTTAACTTGCAGGAGAACTAAAATGTTCTCCTCCAGTTTGATGGAGGTTGCATTTCCCTTTATCTTCGTAGACAGCAAAAGTCTGTCACTGATTTGCAGCTGTTTGGATTTTCAGGTGAAATTAAAGTCTTCCCAGTGGTGACAGGAAACAGTTTTCCTCTTGTTTGTGGTGTTTGAAAATAGTTAGCAGACTTCAGGAGATGTGTAAATTAAGTCTCAAAGGCATTTATATGTCACTTCAGGCACTCTTCTGTTTATGCCAGGTGGAGTAAAAGTTCTGAGGTTTCAGTGAGGTGCACTACAGAAATTAGGATGCTTTATTTTCAACACAAAGAGCTTTGAAAGTACAGAGCAAGTCTGGAGGGGAGCGAGATGAAAGATGAGACAGGTGACATACAACACCTGATCCTGAAAGTGTCTTCGGTTAAAGGCTTGGGAGGTCTCTCCCTTGTTTGTTTTGTGAAAATGTTTGGGTTTGTCTCTGTCATCCTTTGTGTCTCCTTCTTTGCCTCTCATTATCCAGGACTTGTCACTTGGTGCTCACCAGCCTTGCTGCAGTGAAGTGCTTTGTTTGTCTCGGCAAGACAGAAACTGTAGTTGTTTCTGACTGTCAGGTTCTAAAGTGCCTGTATAGAAGTTCTCAATAGCTATTACTAGGAAAATAAGAATCTCTTTTCTTTTCTCCATTATCTATAAGGACTTTTTTTTTATATTTCCCTCTGCTGTGTAGCCTGAACACCACTGTGTACACCTGCTCATTGGTGTGTGTCACACATCCATTTTTCCTCATGTACAGACCCACCTCTGCCTCTCGGGGTAGAAGTAACTATTCCAAAAAAGCTTCACTCACAGGAGAGCTGCTTGTTAACTCTGTTGTCTCCCTATGAAATGCTGGTTTGTATGTGCATCTTAGTAGTTATATTTTTGATGGATTTGTGTAGCTTGTTTGGTTACATTAGGAAAATCATAGAAGAAAAAATTACAGATTTTTTTTATCTGGAACAATCAAATGAGCAAGTAATTGATGTGGTAAAGGATATTCTCTTTATTTCTACAAAGCTCAGTCTCCAGTTACTGTGTTTTCATGCCAAACAGTGACTCAGCAATAAGTAATCTGTAAAGTAATGATAAGTAAAGTCAATAAAAAGTAATCTGTGTACATTCCAGTCCTTTGTGAGAGTACATATTTATGTTAATGTTCTTGTGATAACATTAGATTTGTAATATATTGATGAATAGCAAAATATTAACATAATTACTAATGTTAATTCATACTAATGTTCTGATGTTATATTTTGTGTAGTTAAAGGAAAATGCAGCAGCTTGACCATTCTTACTTTTTTTTTTTTTTACTTTTGATACTCTGCTGGTTTCAAGTGCCTTCCACTTAAACCACTTCCACACTCCTTTAATGAAGCTCTGCGCAGGGAAACACTGTAAGATACCACCCTTGTAAAATATTAACTGTCCATTTGAACATTTTCTGCTGATAATCGTATCTCTAAATGATAGGCCATCTGTCCTTTTCACAGGAAAAATCAAACCAACCAGATGGAAATACTGGAACTTGAGCTGAGAGACAATCAGAAAGAGCCATGCCCCCAAGGCATGTGAAATGTCACTTCTAGGCCTTTTATGCAATCTAGTTATAAATCCAAATATGTGGACAGGCAATAAAGTAAAAGCCTTGCAGTAAAAGTCTTGCTGAGAAGGTACTCAGCTGTGGTGGTGTGAAGTTTCTAGAGGCTGCTATTGAAGTTTCTCTGCCTCTATCTGTGCATATCTATAAGTCCCCTATCTGACCAGTTCATCTTGACGTCTGGCCTACGCTCCATTCCTTCAAGGAAACTGGGTGTTTCTTTCTCTGCCCCTCAAGAACTCGATGAGTCAGGCAGTTTCAGAGCTTGACTAGCACAGGAACTGTTTTCCACAAGCTGTAGCTCTCAGTGCAGGAGGGGGGCCAAGTGGCCTGTATTGCCCCACTCTGAGCTGTATGACACACATGAATCTTTGGCTCGAGGGATGCTGCTATGGAGCAAAGAAAAGCATCCAAGACTAGATGTGCCAAAACACCCTGTGACTCTACAGACCCACGCTTATGGCTGCTGCTTGAAACACTCCCAGAGCTGAACAGAAATTGAACAAACATCTCCACATCTGTAGGACCGGCACTTCGGAGTGGTCCTTTGGTTTTCATGGATGGGTAAAAAGGCAACAGGTAGGGCTCAATGTTAGAAATGGGTCAAGCTTCAGACACTGGAATGGGATGCCCAGGGAGGTCTCTGGAGGTGTTTAAGGGAAGACTGGACATAGCACTTGGTGCCATGGTCCGGTTGACCGGCAGGGTGATGTTGGGTCATAGGTTGGACTCGATGATCTCAGAGGTCTTTTCCTGCCTCTTTTAGCCACCAGCGCGCTTGTAGCAAATGTCGGTAGAGACCTTCCCAAATCTTCGTTGGCGAAGCCTAGCCATGAATTCAGTGATCCCTGGTTACTAGGAGAAGCTGAAGGCTTCTCCCTGGTAATGGAGCCCAATCCCGATCCCCTTCTCGTTCACGTTCCCTATCCCGATCCCCTTCTCATTCCCGTTCCCTATCCCGACTCCGGTCCCCCTGTGCCGGGGTCGCCACCTCAGAACGCCCCTCCCGCCCTGCCGGGCACGGCCCGACGCGGCCGCCCCGCTCCCATTGGCCGCCCCGCCGCTACTCTCTCTCCCTATTGGCCAGCGCCCCTGCCAGACCGTGCTGCGATTGGCTGCTCCCGCCGCCACTCCCCGGTGTCACTGCTGGCCCCGCCCCCCGCGCCGCAGTGGGGCGATCGGGCGATGTGGTGACGTCAGCGGCGAGCGGTGCCGCCATTGGCCGAGGCGGCGGGCCGCGCCATGTGGCGCGCGCTGCGCGGGGCCGGGCGCGGGGCCCTGTGGAGTTACCGCGGCGCGAGGGGACTGAGGGGCTCTGAGGTACCGCCGGGGCGGGCACGGAGGTGAGCGGGGACAGCGCGGAAACGGGGCTGCCAGAGGGGCAGCGGGGGCCGAGGGCGTCGATCCTGCTCCTCTCCTCAGCCCTGGTGAGGCGCGTCTGGAGCGCTGTGTCCAGTTCTAGGCTCCTCAGTACCAAAGGGA